CGTGGTGGAAAAATGTGCAAAATTGGCTTACCCGCGGTTTACCCGTGGTATGCCCGCGGAACAGACGCCGGCGACTGTTCCGCGTCCTTATCGCGGGTGAAGCGCGGCGGTACCGCGGCCTACCACGCTTACACGCGGTACACACGCTAATGCACGTGAAAACAACGCGGTACAGACGCGGAACAAACGTGCTATGACCGTGCTCCACCCGCGATTACCCGCTAAAATTTCGCGTCCAATTCCGCGTGTAACCACGTCTTAACCGCGGCCGTAGCACGTCCTAGCACGTTCGTTCCGCGTCTGTACCGCGTCTTTACCGCGTGTGTACCACGTGTACCGCCCGCGATTACCCGCGGTCTAAATTTTTGGGCAGCCCAAAACTTTTTCGCGCGGCCAACCGCGTGTGAATTTCTTACCGCGTGTAACGACGGGTAAAGTACGGCTGTATCGCGTCTTTATCGCGACCTCAAAGCGTCCAACAGCGTCTGCTTCACGGGCAGAAATTTTTGGCCGTGATTCGGCCGCGATACGCCCGCCGGAGGGCTGTGTGACCGGGCCTTAAGAACTGTTACGAACACCGTACGAATGATTTTCAGACCATGAAATGCTACGGTCACAAAGGGATCGTACGAACGATAATTTCGTACGAATCTCCGTGTTTTTCCTTTGTCTTCCCGAAATTCCATTGTCTGAAAATCGTTCGTACGGCGTTCGTAGCAGTTCGTAATGGCATTTATGACCCATATGGAAACGTTTGCTTGTATATTTGTCTCATAAAAGAATTTTAGAACAAACTGACTCCCACACGGTGTTGAGTGCTCAGGGGTCACAGGCCACTGGCTTCATCGGGCAGGTAGTTCCATTATGTGAATGGGTAAATTAACTATTACAAAATGAGGGGACACATTACATTGTACAATAGGGACACACATTGTTTTTATTGTGCAAAACATCCTCTTTTATTTACCACATTATTGCATGAAACTATAAAACCAAAATGCATTTTGTATTCTTACAATACGAGTACAAAGAATAATAACAGGTGAATGAAATGCATAAACACCACAAACACCTGGGGAGGAAGCATTCATAAATTTGAATACATATAGTTGATAAACGACTCTGATAAAACTATAAGACCAAAATGAAATTTGCGTTCTGGCAATTGGAGTACAAAGAATGATAGCAGGTGAATGAAATGCTTCAACAGCAACACAAACACCTGGGAAGCTAGGAAGCATCGATAAATTTGAATAATTTAGTTGATAAACGACTCCGCATGTGGACGTTTGTTGGAGCAGAAAGCAGTGGATTCTTAACAACACGAACCCATTTAACAGAATGTCGGAACGTAAATTAAATTTGGCGCGGTTGGAAAATGCATCTTTTTACCCTACGACTTTAATGGTACGATCCAGTAAATTAAAACAGTAAAATGGCTCTTATTTTGAAATTAATAATTAAATAAAACCCAAAACTTCAGTGATATCAGAAAAATAATGTTATATCTTACTAATAATTAAAAAGAGATGTATAAACATTTTGAAAGTGTCGCATTTTACGATAAAAGGCACCGATTTAGCGAAAATGACGTCATTAGTGCGCTTGCATCAGGGAATTCAAGGTCAAAAGGTCAATTCAGACGCTGATAAGTTTTTGGTCGAGCCTTTTTGTTTCCTTTATTCCGACAAAATTATACAATCAATCAAAACAAGTTTAATACCAGAATAAAGCTAACGATTAGTATTTTCATTAACCGCTTGCCCCAAAGTCGCTTGACCACAGTGAAACGAGTGAGAGCTTGCGAGAGCGGCCAAAGTGTGATTGAAACTCGCTATTTGCTCTTCTCCAACGCAAAAAGAGACGACATTGTGCTGGATAAAAGTATTTTTTCCGACGAAAGTACAGAAAATTTGCATATGGTCTTTTTATATTATACTTTATGAAATGTTACCGGAGTGATTTCCGGGCGCCCCAATGCTGGAAAGAAACGCACATTTTAGATAACTTCACTTTTTCATGGAAAAATGCTCATTTGTTCTATGCACGCAAGTCAGATTGAGCGGATGATACAACGTTTCCATATGAGACTAAAATTCGGGAAGACCATGGAAAAACAGGGAGATTTGTACGAGCGCATCGTTCGTACGAACCTTTGTGACCGTAGCTTTACATCAGTCCCTTGCGTCAACACATAGAAAACAGTGTGACGTAGGTTAGCACACAATGTGTTCACATCGTCATATAAAACACAGTGTGTTCACACAGTCATATAAAATACGATGTGAAGTAGGTTCACACACAGTTTGTTCATACAGTCATAGAAAACACAGTGTAATGTAGGTTTACGCACAGTTTGTCCACACATTCATATAAAACACAGTGTGAAGTAGGTTTACACACAGTGTGTTCATAAAGTCATAGAAAACAAAGTGTGAAGTAGGTTTAAACACAGTGTGTTCACACAGACATAGAAAACACAGTGTGAAGTAGGTCTACACACAGTGTGTTCACACAGTCACAGAAAACACAGTGTGGAGTAGGTCTACACACAGTGTGTTCACACAGTCATAGGAAACACAGTGTGAAGTAGGTTTACACACAGTGTGTTCACACAGTCATAGAAAACAGAGTGTGAAGTTTTTTTACACACAGTCATAGAAAATACAGTGTGACTGTGAAGTAGGTTTACACACAATGTGTTCACGCAGTCATATAAAACACAGTGTGAAGTAGGTTCACACACGGTGTGTTCACACAGTCATCACAATGATGTATTCTTAATCCCCTCATCAGACATACTGCGCTGCGTATATTTTTTGTGATTCTTTTTTACAATCAACAGTGTGTTGTACAATGTGAAGAAGGTGAACATGGAATGTGTAATATATACTTTCGTCTTCCTGCATGCATTATAATAATAATTACGAACTCCTCACCATCTGTCAAGTTCAATATATCTCAACATCTATTAAAATGATATTCTAGCCAACATCTTCCCACAATGGTCAAATTGGTCTTTAATATTTTCTGTCAAATCTTAAATACCCATTTTCTCTCCGTATGAGCTAGATGCCATCAACATGTACTGATTTTAACCTTCAATATAAAAACACTTCCTCATTGCGGCAAGGTTTTTTTCATTATATTTCTGTTTTCTCATCTTTATTTCTATTGGACGGGGTGAATAAAACTATCAGGTCTTGAATTAAAGACCGTCGATACTACTGGGCCAGAAGGGATTAGACCACACAGCAAGGTCACTGACAGGTGGCTATCTCATTAACTCAGCTCTCAACTAACATAATAAAAAGAGGATCATGGGGGACCAACAGGCACCGATTGGGGAAGTTTTCTATATAGAGGGAGCAAGTAGCTACAAGTAGGACAGTGGGGCTTTAAATCAAATTTTATTTTGAAACATTTCTGATTTAGGGAGATGCAGTCTGCTGACCAAGAAGTTGTTTAAGAAGTTATTCCATGGAGAGGATCCTTATAACAGACACATCAGACCGGCCATCAACGAGTCTACACCCACCGATCTAGAAATGCAGCTCTTTGTTTCTCAAATTCTTGAAATGGTCAGTAAATCCACAGTTTGGTGATCCCCCAGCCCCCCCCCCCCCCCCCCGGCTGATTTTTTTTTTTTTTTTTTTTTTTTTTTTGGGGGGGGGGGGGGTCTCTTTTTTCTTTTAATCTTGTGACATCATCGTAAGTTTTATTTAAACTGAGTGTGGTCTACGAAAGTGGAAAGTACGCATGAACCTTAATTCTAACTCATGCATACATTAATCATGATGGATTTAAAAGTACTTTGAAATTTGCAATCATCTTTCCCAGAGTTGAACTCGTACCAACAACTTCTCAGTACAGATCTGTACGCTTAATGACTCTATGGGGATCCATTGGTTGAAATGGTTGGCCTGATGTTTAAAGATGAAGTTGAGTTCTGGTCATGCGATTGCATTGTGAAAGAAACGGTGTGTAATCGACCAGAAAAGGTTGATCATCTAGCATATAAGAATTTGTGTGTATTGCAAGGTTCTGGAATCATCAAAATGATAAGAAATTTGGCCAAGTCTTGGTAAAGTTACAAAAACTTGCACAGAAAGATGTATATGGGACTACACGAACACGTGGCGTAAAAAGCCGGCCCCCCGATTTTTGCGATGTTACATGCATATTTAGAATATGAAGGCATTCGAAGAGCCATGCTTTTCAGGGAACATGTCTTAACTGATGTTCTTCCACACTTGCATAATAAGAATGAGTAATGCTCACAAATTATTTTTCACCTCTTTCCAGAACTCAACCTTCTCTTTAAATTGAGATTTGGGATGCTTGATTTTGTATTGCAGGATGCTTTGCATAATACATATTGTTTTTATTTACAGGATGAACGGTTACAAACGTTGAAGGCCAATGTATGGATGTCATATGTAAGTATCAGTATCAGATTACATAAGTATCAATAATACGCAATTCTTATTCAATCAAATTACATACATAGGCGTGTACTAACCTACAATTTCGTTACTTGTACTTTTGTCCGAATAAGGTCAATTGCCACCACGACTACCTTGACTAGTAGTGACTGTTAGTGGAGCACTGTGTTATAATGGTAACATCCACGGAAAATAAGTTTCACTCTTGACCTAGGTGTATTCTATGGGTGCCCAGCAATGCTATGGGGGAAATAATTGAAGGGCCCTCAGGAAAAGTAATAATAATACCGTGGTTGCTGACTTTCTTCTTCTTTTATTCTTTCTTCTGTTTTGATCATAATACAAAGATTATTGTGCTTTTAAGTTTGATAAATACATCACAGCGGTTAAAGTGTGCATTGCTAACTGAAGCTCGTTTTCATTGTTAATTTAACGTTTCTCTCATGTGACGATGACTGCTTTGCTCATTAGGACTGGACCGATGAATTTCTTCGCTGGGATCCAGCTGATTTCGATGGACTCAAGAGCTTCAAGATAACCTCTGACCTCATCTGGATGCCTGATATCGTCATCTATAACAAGTAAGAATGATGATCATGATGATGACTATGACGCGTTGATTTATGTTGCAAAATGTCGAGGCTATAATGCTAATAATTTGTTACAGTGTCTATTACACAGTGGTTGAAACAGGTTATATTGTCACTTTTATGATGAAGAACTCCTTGCCATTGTTGTCACCATCATTGTTATCACCATTGCAATAACAATAATCATCATCATCATCATCAAAATCAGCAGGGTCACTCAGATAAACTACCCCGTCATTATCATCATCATCATCGTCGTCACCATCACCACCATCCTTCAATTTAGTATATCATTTTTTGTTTATTTATTGCAACCAATAGGTTGGATTTAAATATTTTGAAAATTGCCATTACCATTACCAGCATCATTATCACCACTATCATCATCATTACCATCAGCTTTATTAACATCTCCGAAATCAGATAGCTGTACAAATTTCACATATCTTTACATTAGGGTTTGCTTGTTTGGTTGGTCATGTTGATAGAAAATACTAACATTATATTAAGCCTGTAACGATAAAGTGATAAATAAAATTACCACCGAAGTCTCTAAGCGCTATTGCTATAACACACAAAATAGACTGATAAACAATTACATATTAAACAAAACTAAAAAGTGCAAATAAACCTACAAATTACAATACATATGGAATACACATCAAAGTGAACAAAGTTAATTAATCATCGAACGCAATTTTGAATAAATGTGTCTAAAGACTAGTTTTGAATAGGTTAACAGTTTGAGAGTTTTTGACATTTAAAGGTAGTCTGTTCCAAAGTTCAGCAGAAGCTTTGCAAAAAGAGCGATTACCATAAGAAAGAGTTGACACAGAAGTAGATACGAGGTTTAATTGTGAAGATGACCGTAAATTGCGTGAGGGTTTGTATTCCTGGATTAATTATCATCATCTCTTCTCTGCAGTGCAGGGGACTCCTACGGCACGTATATGTTCAACAAGATTGTTAAGATCGAACACACTGGTCATGTGAACTGGGGCTCGCCTCACATCATTGTGACTAGCTGCCAACTCAACGTTGCTAACTTCCCGTTTGACTACCAGCACTGTCCCATCAAGTTCGGTCCATGGCAGCACGATGGATCTGAGTTGGCAATCACGGGATCAGGTATCTTTCTCTCCATTTAAAAAAAAAAAATTATAATTTTTTTATTATTATTATCATAACCCTTCTTTTTTCTCTAAAGGAAATGTAAGAAGGAAAAAACAAATATTGTTGAAAAGAAAAAAAATATTTTGAATTTTATACGCAAACTGGTCGAGGAAATGGAGCAAACTTTATTTGCGATTTGTTTAAAATGTGAAAATATATAATTTTGTTTGTGTGAATATTTTTCATCTGTAAATGCGTAACTCTATTTGTAACCTTGTATGGAAATATAAAAGTTTACTTGCAAATTTATTTACACCTATGTGAAGATCATTTTGTTATTTTGTATACAATGTTATAAATTATGTAGAATTTTCTTTATGAGAGAAGAGAATAAAAACCTATGAAAAAAAGAAAAAGAAAAAGAAAAAATGTTACTATTAGTTTGAGGCGAAAGATTATTATGGCGACATTGGAGACGTAACGTTATGATGGTGGCTATAATGGTATTGATGGTAACGATGATAATGATGATGATGGTGGTGATGATGGTGATCATGACTATTAATGTATTGGCAATAATGATGATGACGATGATGATGACGGTGGCGATGATGGTGATGGATGATGAGGACTTTGATGATGATATATTTTATGGTGACGATGATGGTATGGCAACGTTGATGGTGATGATAATGGTAATCAAATGTTGACGCTGGAAATGACGATGGCGAGTGGTGGTGATAGTGGTGATGATAACGACATTGAGGACAGTTGTAATGTCAATGATGACAAAGACGATGCCGTTGTTATTGGTAATGATGATTATGATGACGATGATAGTGGTTATGATGGTCATTATGACGATGATGGTTTTATTGTTTGTTCAAGTAATATTTTATTTGGTACTCATGGATGGTGTTAAAGGTGATGATAATGATGATGATGATGATGATGATGATATTTGTGGTAATAATATATAACTAACTCTAGCATTGAATGTCTTCTTCTCAGGTGATAATACAGTATATCGCAGTGATGGTGAGTGGGATATGGTAGGTCTTTCTACAGTAACCAATCAACAAACTTATCCAGACTCGCCTGGCATATCGTATTATGACGTCACCTACACAATACATATCAGAAGGTAAGAAGTATAGACGAGAAACAGAGAGAGAGAGAGATAGACAGGCCGACCCACAGAGAATAACATAGGGACTTTAAGATTTGCACGTCGACATAGCGGACTGCTACGTGTGACTTCCTTTAAAGGCACCGTGACTTCCTTTTAAGGCGCTGCCAATGCCTTAAAAGGACGCCACTCGTCCCTGTAGATAGAAAGGTGTAGGCCGAGTATCTCTCCCTCTCTGTCCCACACACACTCACACGCGCGAAAATCCATCCGCACGCGCACACGCACTTTTTTAAATAGTAATTTTGTTTTATTCCTCCAAGCGTAATACAATTAAAAATAATCACGCAAATCCACATGCACACACGCCGTCGCACACACGCTCGCACACAGGCGCGTACACAGGGAGGGGGGGGGGGGTTGAACCCCCTTTGGTATTTATTTGTGTGTAAATCCCCCCTAAAACCCCCCCCCCCCCCTTTCGTTTTTTTTTTTTAATATTAACAAAAAAAAAAATTATGCCCATGGCTGACCTAAAAAAGGTGACCTTACCCCTTCGGCCGGCGCGATTTTCAAATTTTTCGTTGCGAAATTTTGGGCCCGATTTTAACCCCCCCCCCCTTGAAAAAATCCTGCGTACGCCCCTGCTCGTACATATTCTCACGCACTCCCACCCGCAAACCAAACTCACAATCAGATAAAGAGAAGAAGAGATAGGCTTGACATAGACAGATAGTGATCAATCTATGTACAAGTACAAGACAAGTAGAGAAGAATTAGGTAACAAAACACATACATTCTAAGAAATGCATAGATTGACTATAAACTGAAGGTAAAGACGGGAAAAGATAATTATTACGTAGAGAGAAATACCACACAAACTTAAAATACGTTAAAATTAAAATTAAATTGCTAGAATTAATCATGAAGTGTTTCTCAGATAAAACGTATCGTTTTTTAACTTTTTGTTTAATCTGTCCCTCCTCCTACAGACGAGCTATGTACTACGTGTTCAACCTTCTCGTACCATGTATCCTGATCGCATCAATCACTCTTCTTGGTTTTCTTCTACCGGTTGACTCAGGAGAGAAGGTATCTCTTGGAATTACAGTCCTTCTCTCACTCACAGTCTTCTTACTTCTCATTGCTCAATCAATGCCGCCATCTAGCGTCGTACCAATTATAGGTATATATATCGATTCGGCGATAGATTTTTTTCTTCATAAATCTGTTTACCAATTTATTTCAATAAAAAATTCCCCTGTTGTCAACGTTTACATTCAAATTCTACAGATTTGAAGCAGGTTACAAAAATGTATGTAATAGTTATCATATGTAAATACCTCAAGGAGAGAAAGTAGCCTTTTCAAAATGACACTTTCCTTTCTTTTTTATGCATTAAAAGTACATTTATTTGTTTAATTATTTGTTTATTTATAACCATTATCCATTTATTCATTTATTCATTAATAAATGAATTTATCGATATGTTTATTTATTTAATTTATTTATTCATTTATTTGGTTCTTTGTTTGTTTTGCTTGTTGGCAAATTTGGTTCAACTCGTACTACCCCCTTCGCCTTCATGGTGTAGCGACTGACCTATCCTCAATAAAACATTAGAATGTTAATCGTGGAGAAATAATAAATATAAATATAATGAGATATACAATAGGAGTGGAGAAAGAAAACTGAGGAAATGTAATGAGAAAAGAAGAGAACTTATGATGAAAAAAAAAGGATATTGCCAAGGTACGAAATGGTGAAAGGTATTAAATATGAAGATATATTTGAATCCCTTTTTTATTTCCTGTGTTATTTAGGTCAGTATTATGTATCTACCATGGTACTTGTCTCGATCTCCATCCTCCTCACCGTGTCAGTGATCAACCTTCATCATCGCGGTCCATACTGCAGAAAAGCTCCTAGATGGGTTCGAAGGATCATTCTTGGAAAAATAGCGTGGTTTTTACGACTACAACCTGAACACTTCAAACATATGAAGTTTGCTTCAAATAATAGCTACTACAATGCAAATGGGATTAACACATCTTCACCTAGTGGCAACAACTTCAGAAGTAAGAGTGTTGGTAAATATTTCCTTCTTTTGAAATGTTAATTATTTGCCCTCGAACGTTTTATCCATTTCCCCTTTCGCCTGTATGTTTAGCGGGAGAGACATCAGGGGTCACTTTTTTCAACGTCGGCGTCGTTAAAGGCCCGGTCACACAGGGGGACGCCTGGGGGACGCACGGCCAGCGCATTCGAAATTTGCAATTTTGGCCAGTGCGTTGTCGTTCGCTAGGTGTGCGTCATCATTCGTTACTCGTTCGTCGAGCGCGCTGGACCAACGCTGGACCAACGCTATGCATTCGTCGTCATTCGCTGTGTGCCTCTGGATTTTTTTAGCATGCTCAAAAGTGTGCGCGGAGCTCGACGCATGAATGTACACGCCAAAGGGACGCCAGACATACGTGGAGCACGACCTGTATACGCGCAACACGCTATGCATTCGGTGTCAGCTCGCTAGCTTCTCCCAAATCCTGACAAAAGTCGGAATGCGTCGGCCTTACGCCCCCCCCCCCACCATGCGTCCCCTCTGTGTGACCGAGCTTAGCAATGGGGACGCACGGCCAGCGCATTGGAAATTTGGAATTTTGGCCAGCGCGTTGTCGTTCGCTAGGTGTGCGTCACCCTTCGGGATTTTTTGAGCATCCCGACGAATGCATAGCGTTGGTCAAGTGTTGGTCCAGCGCACTCGACGAACGAGTAACGAAGGATGACGCACACCTAACGCACGACAACGCACTGGCAAAAATTACAAATTTCCAATGCGCGGGCCGTGCGTCCCCCATGCGTCCCCTATGTGTGACCGGGCCTGCTTTGCTGGATACGGGGCCATTGATCTTGAAACGTGTACACAATGATCATTAAGTAGTTCGAAACAAATGGCAGTTCAAGAATCGAGGTCAAATGTGAAATAAGGTCAGTTATGGCCATTTACGCTTCAAAACTTTCTATTAAAAAAAAATGTTAACTCCCAAACTATTACCCAAAAGTCTAAAGTTGAGTAGAAGTGGATTTAACTACCAAAGATCACCGAGGGAAAGTCAAAGGTCTCATTTTGAGATGAATTGATTCAGGTTACTGTTTTGAATGAGTAATTTGAAAATAACTTTCATTTTAGAAATACATGTGCAAATTCATGAACCCTTTTCAGTGAAAAAATAATGCGATTTAATTTAGATCAAAGAGTCCAAAGATAAATAGGGGTTATTTTTGCTGCACGAACATAAGCTTTTTCCATTAATTAAATGTCCTCCCCTCAGTCAAGTGTCACTGTGAAGTGTACAAAAGAAATAACATAAATAAGGATTTTTTTATCTCAAAGTTCATGAGTGTTTTTCAAAGAAATATCATTTATCTAAGATGGTTTTATTTATTTAGTTTAAAGATAAAGGTGAGTTCTGGTATAAAAAAAAGAAAATTAATTCTCACAGAATCAAACGGAAATTACACTGAATGTTCAAGATTAAAAATAAATGTCATTTGCCAAACATTTTTGGTAGAAAATGTATACTGGCTGAGTAATGAGCATAGAAAGATTAGGAAATCAAAGTTAGTAGCCCCGACACTAGTTGTGTAGTCCCATATACATCTTTCTGTGTACAGTGCTTGTTACTTTACCAAGACTGGGACAAATCTATTATGATTTTGATGACTCCAGAACTTTGCAGTACACGCCAATACTTACATGCTACATGATCAACTTTTTCTGATTCATTTCACAGTGCAATCGAATACCAGAACTCACCTTCATCTTTAAGTTTTTTTTTTAAGAAATGTCATTTATCTACGATGGTTTTGTTTATTAACGGCTTCAAATGATGATTTTGTCATTTTATTTTTGTGTGTATTTTAGAGAAACGAGAGAGCTACAAGCGTGATAAGGTGAAAGTCACTGCACCTCACGAGTCTCCAATCCTCGGTATATCCCGGAGTGGTCGGGGGAGGGAAGGCTGCTGTGATAACAACGACGATCAGCTCATTTTACTCCGACGAATGATCGATCATATGCGATACATCCGAGATCATTTCGAAGAGATCGATGATTCTGAGGATATCAAGAATGAGTGGAAGCAGATCGCGTTGGTCGTCGATCGAGTCTTCGCTATCTTCTACGTCTTCGGTTCGATTGGTACCATCCTGATGCTTGTCTTTAAGATATCATGATCACCCTACAGGTTGATGGTTATCGTCGATCTCGGTGGGATCATCGTCATAGGGGTGGTCGTCTGTCAAGAAGTTTCGTGATCAGCCTGGAAAGAAAGAAAGATTCATCTTTGATATACACAGAGCAGGCTTTTGCAAAAGACTTCAACTGTTTGTATGATCATTTGAAAAAGTAATTACGTAAGCCTACCAACTTTGTCGTTATTTTCCAAGTTGCTTCAAAATTTATTCAGAAATTGTCATAAAGATGACTTAATGATGAATATGACCTTAATCGAGGTAAACTATGAGAAAAGATGTGGATTTTAAGATCAGACTTTGATCCGCCCATTTGATCAAAAGTGCTACAAAAAATACCATCGCTTAGCTTTATGTTCGTTAAACTTTTTCAAATCGCCCCCCCCCCCATATTGGAATACTTTTATCCATATTTTTAATCTCGCTATCGTTAACCTGGTCCAACACCATATCTACAAATTCTACTAGCAATGTTTTCTCATGTTAGTTTATATTTTGATCTGAAACACCTTGTTCACCCCTGTCGTAAACTTTGTTAAGTTTTCAGGCTAATCCGTGATATGCAAAAACTTGCTTTGCTCCAGATAAGTGGCCAAAAAGTTGGCATTTTTAACAAGCATCCTCAGTGAGAATCTGCAGGGATCAACAACAAAATAGATCGATGCCATTTGCAATGGATAAGTACTGCTTCCTAGGTTGTACTATATCAAGAACATTGTGCATTCATAATGATTATTATCCAAATCTTTCCCCATATTTAAAGCACATCAATTTCTGCAGATTATTAAGTACCCTAGACTTTAGAGGATGTGGCACAGTCAAACTACAAAGGTATCATTTGCAACCAACAATGTTTTCATATCCTAAACTGACAACGTCACGGCTGGATTCTATGTCAGTACTATCGGACACAGGATGAAATTCTGTCAGATTAGGAACTGGTTGATCTAGTAGTAGTCTTCTTTTTTTTTTATTTAGATGCGCAGCCTAGATCCAGTGCATATATATGTACATACATGTTAGTCAGACTGAATCTCAGGCTTAACTGTTTGCCACCAGACTTACAGGTAATCATCTAAGAGTACAGTCTTTGAAGATCAGGGTACAAATTGTTGCATGTAGGGCTGTTTGGTATATTTGAATTGAACATATAGTGAGTTACTTGGGCACGAAGGGCCAGGATCCTGTTGAGGGTTGTTCTATCTTTTCGAAGGCGGTTGAATCCTGACTTCTGGACATGGATTTTAAAGGCATTATTGACATCTGCCCAGAATTTTTTTAAGCTGTCATCGTGAACAGTTCCATTCTAAGTGTTTATTAGTATTATTATTATGTCGTTGCAATAGCAACATCAATGTTTGGCAAAGTTTCTTTCAAAAGCTGTATAGTATTTTTCTGGCTATCAAAATAGGGTTTAAATTATATGTAACAAATTAATTTGTACTAAGCTGTAATGACTTACTTGACTTAAGTGCACAGGACGGAGTGTCCCCTTGCACTCCTATGGGTGGTCTACCTCCATTCACTTTTGTCCTGGGCTTGGTGTTGGGCAGCCTCCAGGCTTAATCCAGAGTCTTGGCAGATTTGGTCTTTCCACCTCAAGGGAGGACGTCCTGGTGGCCATGGCAATGTAGAGTCATTGATGTGGACTTGTATTGGTAGGCGTTCCTGTGGCATATGTACTACATGTCCAAACCATTTCAGGCGGCGGTTGGATATTTCCCCATTTATTGTTATGGAAATTTTCAGTGACTTTCGAATGTCTACACTTCTAATTTTGTCTCGAAGATGGACTTCTGCTATTAGTATTTAAACTACATTGAAGAGTTCCTAATCTGGAATTACAAAATGCAATTAATCTGTTTCAATAGCAGCGGCTCTGACACGTCCACCCACCCAGAGTTAAGTGGAAAAGAGAAAGATCATGAGAGTGGGTTTTCTGGTTAATTAGAGATCAAACCGTGTAGGATACTGTGTCGCGGGGATGAGTTACGTTTCTATATGATATGCAATTACTGATAAACTTACTTCAAATGCCAAGCATAACTACTTTGGCATCATGGTGCTTTCATACCATCTTTTGTGAGGGGCAGGACAATTACCTGAAACAAAAACATATTTAGCCTGAAAACCATCGGAAAGTTGAACATTTAAACATTCGTTTTATGGTTTGTTTGGGATGAGATACAGAAATCATCTATTTTGCCAAAATATCAATTTATACAAAGTCGTTGCCATAGCAACAAACGTCTTCTGAACATTCACATATAAAGGCTTAATACAATAAATATGACCTTGAGCGTGTAACGGATATACTTAGGAAGAAAATTACTTGTCTGAAAGATAGTAAGCAAATATTAATCGACTACGAGGGTTGCGGCTCGGGATGATAGAAGCCCCGAGATCGCCTCGGCGATGATAGTTTGCATTCATTGCCCGAGTAAAGGAGGTTAATATTTGTTTTATTTCCCACATCGGCAATAAGGTCTATTTAAAGTGAATTTTACATAATTAAAAGAACTGATTCTGCAGACAGTTTAGCTTCACCTAGATTTTACAAAGCACAACATGCATACATGTAAGTAAGTCGATGCGCTCTCTTTTGAAATTGACATTGACATTTACATTTCGCGTAACCTACTTTGCTATGCTTATTCAATGGGCAAGTGGGGCAGCAGCAAAAAAATTACTGTACAAAAGTCCTATCGCAGGGTCGCAGGGAGATAGTACTTATCTATCATTGATCATGTGACCTCGTTTAGACCAATCAGATTGCAAGATTCTTAGTGTGCGGGATATAACAGTAGGTGGTGGTCAGTGATGTTAAATGTTCCATACAGCAGGGTTATTGTGGTGTTTTCCCAAGGTTCTGTACTGGGCCATATGTTGTTTCTTATTTACATAGATTATGTAATTAAATCTTGTCCATTTTAAAATTGTACCATGTTTGCTGATGATACATGTGCTCTTGTTACAAACAGTAATACACAAATGCTTGTCTCATTAATAAACAGGTAAATTTCAAAAGTTTATTTATGGTTTGAATTAAATTAATTATCTTTGAATGTTACTGATTAGAAACAAATTATGTCATATTTACGTCAAGGAACAGGAAAGTGCCCGATAATTTATAACCTGTTGATATGGATAATCTTGTTATATCCAATTTGAAAAATATAAGATTTCTTGATGTAACAATTAATGAGCTTTGGCTTGGAGTGTATATATCAAGAACTCCTAAGACAGCTTCTAAATATGTCGATTTCCTCTCTAAATTAAAATTCATATTGCCTACTAATGCTTTTTTACATTCTTTATAATAGCCTTGTTTTACCACATCGAAACTACTGCAACTATATTTGGGGAATTACTTATAAATATAACAAAGTCATATACGATTTGAATACATTTAATACACGAATTTGTATGTACTCCCAAAGAAGTTTTGTAATATTTGTATTCAAAATTCAAATATTCATTCATATGCCACTCATCAAAAATACCATTTTCATCAACCCAAAGAAAGACTAACTTCTTCACTTAATTCATTAAATGTTTCTGGCGTGAAGAAATGGAATTAATACCAACTTGTATAAGATTAAGTTCAACTTTATTCTGTTTCTAAAATGCTTCGTCAAGAATACCTATTTGAAAATTAGTTTAGAAAATATATATAATGTTTTCATATTAATTACTTTGTATAAACACTTTCGTTTAGGTGTGTCTGTATGCAGTAATTTTGTATGCGTATGTCTATGTATACGTGTGTGTGTGTGTGTGTGGGTGGATGTGAGGGGGTATGTTGACTGAGTCATATTTAATTTGTTTTATGTGGGGGCCGTATTCATAAGCAATTTGCTTTCTCGAAGCCCATACCATATATTTGCTTTGTATCTTGTATGTTTAATGTATTCAAGTTTCTTTTGTATGTTTCGCTTTTACGTGTATATGGTTCAATCAATCCAGTGCGATGATCATTGAAGGACCTTACTTTCTGAAATGTCAGGAGTTACCATGCCAACCGCAATATTCAAGCATAACTATGAGGCTTTTATTGAAATCAAATGCGTAAATGGAAATCGATTTATTTAGCCGCTAACATAATATATATTGCATTTGTTTGATGGGAAATATATGTCATTTTCAAGAGAAATTTCGTTACCATGACAACGGCCAAAGACGTCATTTTAAGAACACTTTCAATTAGTCATATGCATTACATTCATACATAACCCACTTTGATTATGTGTTCATAAATGTGAGAAGATAGTAAATACAAATATTATAAGAAAATTCACAGTACTTAGTATATTATGTCATTACCTTGGGAAATTTGAGTAGGACATGCTTTAAAAGCTAAGCTTGTATGTTGCATGGACACAATTGCATTGATACTATAAATAATTACGCAAACATTAGGTCTTTACAAGAACGTGTAATTGGGGGATGTGGTTTGGTGGACAGTACTTTGATGGCGTTTTTTGTATCGAAAAACCGACTTGTTTGCCAAATCATTAAAACCATGGGCATGGACAACTGTAAAATTAGTGAAATTATATTTGGTATTTGATATTTTAATAGATAGATAATCAATGTATTCACTCACTGTTTCACTGTTTCTCAAAACGATTTAGTAATCATGTGTAAGTTTCATCATGAAATTTTTTAGCTACATCTTTCATGCTGTATGTATTTGAATTTGTGATATTTGTATATAATAAATGCAGTTTCATTGTCTGATTTTGTAATAATATATTGTTTGGCACTAAGACACTGTATATATATCATTTGTTAATATTTATTATGAAGTGAATGCTGCCCTCTTAAATTGAAAATGATTCATAAAGGACATAAGGTTAAGTCATGACGACAGATGATAGAAAATATCTGAAAGCATAATTGTTAGCCCAAGTAGTATAATATGCTTCCGTTGTTGAAACTCTTTCCCTTCTTTGATTTCCGACTCTTATTCCTAATTTCTTTCTACGCTCACTTGTTCTCATCACCCCTCTCTGTGTTTGATATACGATATAAATATAAGGCTTTCCAGGTCTGTAGAAAAAAAGTGTACATATTTCCTCAAGTCTTCCATTACCAAGTAATGGGGCAATAAGCAGAGCTGGATTCTGCTATTGGCCGTTTAGTATTAGTATATTGGAAATATTAGATCATTAAACTCGCACAACAATTGTCTTTACCCATATATATTTTGTAATCTGCGACAAGATTCACCTTTTGCTAAAAGAATGTTGATGTATGTTTTTTTTTACAAACTATTATCTGTTGTTGTTAACAATTATATCCGCAGAAAAAAAAAAGGCATACAAAAATTGAAACTACTTTTGAAAAATGTACTGATTGGCAATTATAGTTCCGTTTCGTATATCTTA